GGGGGGGGGGAGAGGGAGGGAGAGGCAGGCCCTCCCACAGGCTGCAGGAGCCTTTCCACAACAGCTGAGTACTCCCCTCCCACTCTCCCTGCAATCGTCCAGGTCAGCCCAGAGAAATGCAAGGAACACGGCTATTCTTCTGCAGGGGAGAACTGGGAGGGTCTCACCACAAGAGAATGCTTTCCCCTTCTGCCAATCAGTTGGAGGGATGAGGAAGAATCTTCCCTGGCTGCCTGTGGTAGCTGTTGCTTTTCAGCAGCTGCCAAATGCAACCCGCTTTCCCAGTTTCCAGGCAAGGGAGGGAGCACGCTGTCAACCAGTGGGTTCGCCTAAGGGTGGGCAGTGGCTCAACAAAAATTTTTCTAATGCCCCCTTGCTGGAGGAGAACACAGGGCTGGAGCAAGGGTGGGTGGTTATTTGGATTGGCAGGCCACTGAAGTTCTGGTGACCTTTTGAGGACCACACATCCCTCTCCTTCTCCCTCCCATCTGGGAATGTAACCAGCACAGAAGCCTGAACCCACCCACAGCTTCAATATGGCCCACCCCTCATAGCCATTCACTTGGTGAGCACCTGCTTGTGAGCCATACCCACCCCTGGGCTGGAGGAATGTCTGTACAGTCCAGCTCCTGGGCTATTTTTCTACCAGAAGAAATTTTTTCTGGCAGGAATGAATTTCTGTATGCCATCTGAGTCAACTTCTGTATGACACCTATAATGCACAAATCTCTGAAGACTGCATTTGTTTTTGTTTGTCTTTTTTCATTAGAGGTTGGGGAAGGTGTACTTAAAGTTAAACTTACCTTTCTTATTTTGCATTATCCAAACCTTGAGCTCTACTAGACTGTGTGCATAGAAACACTCATCTTCTCTTAAGCATCCATAACGCACTTCATGTCTGCACAGGTCAAGCTGACACTGAACATGAAAAGGACGAATTTTGGAATACTTCACTGTAGTTTCTCGCAAAATATGGACAAGGCACCTATTTAAAAGACAGTACATGTTTTAAGATTCTTCAGATGACAGATAATGTTCATGCATTAAGATTGCAAAACAATCATTCTTTCTTCCTCATTACTCTGTAAAGTACATTTTGTGTACTGCTAGGCTAAGTAACCTTTATAAAATATTTATAAACAGGCTCCCTATGGAACTATGAGTTCTTCGCAGTCAAGTCGTTTAAAGTGTCACAAAAACGTTAAGATGTCCCCATGCACCATAAATGAAGTTTAAGCTTTCAAATAAAAGAAAACATTAATAGTATCCCCTTTATGCTCCCTAATTTTGCTATCTTGAAAAGTGTCATGGAATTACGAAGAAAACCATGCACATCCTTTATGGCTGACTGTTTTCCCCAAGGATCTCTCTTTAATGCAGGTCTAAAACAAACTTTCAATTCCATAACCAGCAAAAGGTAACCAAAGCATGAGACATATCAAACAAATGGCACAACATTACAGCACTCAAAACAGCATGGTGCTTTATCATTCATAACTGAGATCTTAAACAGTTTTCAAATACTGCTTACTAGCCCTTTAGTCAGTTTTCTAATCCTTTTATATTTAATCTTCAACTCCTCCCACCAAAGGTGCACACAAAGAGCAGTGGTCTCAAGTTGCAGCAAGGGAAGTTTAGGTTAGATATTAGGAACTCTCACTAAGATGGTAGTAAAACACTGGAACAGGTTACCCAGAGAGGTTGTGGATGTCCATCCTTGAAGGTTTTTAAGACCCAGGTAGACAAAGCCTTGGCTGGGATGATCTAGTTGGGGATGGTCCTGTTTTGAGCAGAGGATTGGACTAGATGACCTCCTGAGGTTCCTTCCAGCCCTAATTTTCTATGATTCTGTATACACTCTTAAATCAAAACATTCCCAAAGAAAGAATTTAGAGGCAAAAAGAGTTATGTTTATACAGTCTGGGGTGCTGCATTACACAGGTTCTAGAATTCTCCCCTAGAAATTCTTGCATCAAGCCTACAGGATTCAACAAAAGTTTTCAGACTGTAGAGAATCCAGCATCTCAAGTAATGTATTCCAAGAGTTAATGTTTGTATTTTAGCAGCTCTTACAAGCTCCAAATATAAGCAATTGTGCTAGGTGATGTGCAAACACAAATGTAACAGTCCATTCTTCCAGAAGGTCCAACACTGTTACTTTTTTTAAAAATCTACTTCCATTTTGAGTCAGCGTAGACTCAAACTACAAGCCACTAGATCTTTTTTGCATTTGTTGACCAAGGAGCTCTCTACAGATAAAATAGTTTTTCATTTAGATGTACCCTTTGACCAAGGTAAATCATTTAACTTTCTTTTTCATTTTAAATCTCTGAAGTTGATCCTTGCCACACCAATTACTATATGTATGGACTTTACCAACCATGTTACATATTCTTTTCCAGATCACTGGAAAACCTTAACTCAGTGCCATATTCAATGATTTTATATTGCAGTTTTGTTTTTATTCAAACAGAAGAAATCTAAATAAAACATTTCTCTAAACTGACATACTGATTTTCCAACCCCGGCATCTTTGGTTGCTTAGACAAGGAGTGGGCAATTATTTCGGCTGGAGGGCTGCTTACCGAGTTTTGACAAGCTGTCAAGGGTTGCACGGATAGCCCCACCCCTTGACAAGAGCCTCACCCCCAGTTGAAATCTTGTGACCCAAAGTCATGCCCCTAGTCCCTGACCTTTGCCACCAGAAGTCCCACCCCTGGAAGTACTCCTTTCAGCAAGGAGTTTTGACATCTCGGAACAAGAAAAATTCATTAATTTGCTTTCAAAAAATATTTGTCTTGATTTGTGTCTTTGTGTAGTGTACATAGAGATGATCGCACAATAGCTTAAAATTAAGTCTTCCTCTTGTATATTATGGGAGGTATAAGTTTGTGTGGAGCTGTGGGTGTGTGGGGGAGGATATGGGTATCTGTGAAGTGTTTGTGGGAGGGGTGGGATGAGGAAGCATGTGGGTGTGTGTGTGGAGATATGTGGAGTGTGGGTGGGAGGGTGGCTGGGATGTGCGAGGGGCAGTGAGGGTCTGCGTGTATGGCAGTGCAAGGGGGGACATGGGTGCATGTGGGACTCACCCTACGAACACACACACACACACACACACACACACACACACACACTTCCTCTCTCATTACTCTCCATCTCTCTCTCCTCCTTCCCTCATTGCACAAGTACACGCACACACACAGACACACACTCCTGTCCCCAGGTACTGGCACGGGCCCTGTGCTCCCACAGTCCGGTGATGCAGCCAGGAGCCACATGGTGCTAGAGTGGCCAGTGGGCAGGAAAGTGGGTAAATGGTAGCTACCGGCCAGGGGAGTGGGCAGTCAGTGGGTGTGCAGCAACAGCTGGGCAGGAGTGTGGGGCCAGTACTGACAGGGCTCAGAGCGAAGTGACAGCACCATGGGGCCAGGCTAGCAGGGCTCTACGGAATCAGGGCAGCATCCCCCCCTCTTCCTAGTAGTGTAGCTCAGCCTGGCTCCACAGAGCCCTGCTGGCTTGGGCCCCATGCACCTGCTGCCCTGCTCTGGGTCCCCACCAGCCCTGGCCCTGGGCACTATGCAGGCCCCATGCTCGCTCGCTGCCACTTCTCCCCCATCTGCCACCACTTTCATGCCCACTGCGGTGCTCTGGCACCACGCCGTTCCTGGCTGCATGGCTGCGACTGCAGGACACAGCAGGAACCGGTCCAGCCTGGCCTGAGGATTGAAGCAATTGCCCATGGTCCTCCCCTGCTCCTTCTCATCTGAATTTCCCTCCCCGATGGAGAGAGGTGGGGGACAGCCCCAGACCAGAAGCCTCTAGTAGGCAGAGGCTTCCGCTTGGGGATGGAAGAAGGCTGGGGTGGGGCAGGGCTGGCCTTGCTGCAGGTCTGCAAGCTCCTGCCACTGGCTTCCACTGGGTCCTACTGCCCCTGGCTCCTGTCATCTTTAATATTTATCTGCTCCTGGCTGCCTGTCAATTTTCTACATTTTTTAGGTGCCCCCTGGGCCAAACAGAATGGCCTGGTGGGCTGGAGCTGGCCCATGGGCCACATTCTGCCTGCCCCGGCTTAGATCCAAGCAGAGTGATACTCAGCCTAAGAGCAATCTCGCTGCAAGACCAACCTAAAACTAGCCACTTAGAGGTAAGACAAAGTGTCAACAAAAATCAGTACTTTGTTATTAAATCCAATTGTGTGCACTGTAGATCATCACAGGACCCCACAATATTCACTGCTGACAGATATAACAAGAGATATTTAGTTCTATGCAAGTATTTCCATGTGCAAGAACTTTTGATAATTATTTGTAAACCTGCATTAAAAATAGATTCAGCTCCCCCTTAACATTTATCTTGCCATTATCTCTGCAGTGTTTCCTATACTTCAAGTGGGAAATGCCAAAAAACAGGGTAAGTTTAAACTGCTACAGGCCATAAAGTATCTAGATTTGTAATGGTGTTCCAATACTTTAAATAGTTTTAAAAATGTATGTGTAGATTTATTTTAAGAACTAACACATAAGGAACTCTTAGTGTGGTGGTTCACATTAAAAAAAATAAAGTGTGTGCCCCTTCCCACACAATTTCATTGCTTAACACAATGCAAACACTTACTTCAGAGCAGCTTTATTTAAGTTGATTAGAAAGAATTTTAAATTGTTGACTAATGGGACGAGCAGACCTGATCAACATTACTTTGTAGGGTTTTGATAAAG